CCCCAAAACCCCAAAACCCCAAAACCCCAAAACCCCAAACTTATCATATATTATTGAAAATGAAGACACTTGAAATTACCCAGATTACAAACAAATATGGTGATGACCTTGAGAAGATCATGGCAGTCACAGAGAAAGGACAAAACATCGAAGAAATCGGTAAGACTTTGTCCTTCTTTAAGGTTTCTGAATAAGTGGTCCTAACATTTCCATAGAGGATATTGGAGCATTGAAAAGCCTTGTCAGACTTGATGTTTCCAACAATAAGCTAACAAAGTTTGGAGGAAGTATTTACTGCTATTCATTAACTCTTTTGAATTTATCAAAAAACTCTATCACTAAAATTCCTGATGAGATTAGTCTGCTGACCAACCTAGTCACTCTGAATATCTCATACAATAATATAAAGTCTTTGGCTCCATTGAAGGATTGTAAATCTCTGAAGTCGATTATAGCTGTAGAAAATAGAATAAAATCTACAAAGGATTTAAAGTCTCTGGCTACACTAAACACTCTGATCCTGAGCAAGAATGAGATTGAGGACACAAAAGGGATAGAGAATTTAGGAATGCTTCAGAAGCTTTCTCTCTCCAACAACAAGCTGACCACATTCACTCCTGGGTATGGACTGAACCAGCTCCAAGAGCTTAGGTTGAACAATAACAAGTTGCTTAAGGTCAATGTGCCTGCTCCAAAGCTAAGAATCTTTGATGTAGGGAATAACCCGATTGTGAACAAAGATCACTTCCTGAACTCACTTAGGTCATTGAAAAAGTTAGCAAATCTCAATGTGAACAACTGTTTCAAGGGTACTTGTTCCTCTTTACCTAGCTATAGGTCTAACAGACGATGAAATCAAGAAGGCGAGCCCCAAATTGGTAATTCATGAACCCTAATCTTTAGACCGTCCTTAATGGAATACAAGTAAATCTCTTACTTTTAGTTTGTCTAACCCATCTGTCTAGCTAGGTGAGAAATGGAGAGAAGAGTTCTTTGGCACAATTAGGAAGAACAACAAAGAGACTGGAAGAGTCTCTTCAAAAGTATGGATCTGTGCCTAATTCTAGAAACATGTGTGTAAAGTCCAGAAAATTGCTAGCAGCAAGAAGCATAAAAGAAAGTTTGAAGGAACTATTCCTAAGAAAGCTAAGAGGACTAAAAGAGCCCATAAGGATTTTAGAAAAGGCAACGAGAAGTACAATGAGAACCATCAAGACCAGAATGAAGAGATTAAACAGGAAACCACTGAGCAGCCAGAGAAGCCGGTAGAGAAGAAGAGAGACAGGAAAGAAGCAGAGAAATCAGCAGAGGTCCAAGAGGTGAAGCCTAAAGCAAGTAAAGTAGCAAAGGAGGTAAATGAGCAAGATACGGGTATTAAGAGTGTGAAGAAAGTTGCCAAGGATTCTTCCAAGTCATTTAGTCAAAAGTCTAAAGCAGAGAAGCTCAAGCTTTTGGAAAAATTGCATCCATATTAAGAACGCGCTGTAATGCTTGATTTTAATTGGCTTTCAATAAGAGTATCTTTAATTGGGGTTTTGGGGTTTTGGGGTTTTGGGGTTTTGGGGTTTTGGGGTTTTGGGG